TATATATATATATATATATATGTATATTTTTCTTCTTAACGAACAAACACACAAATGATTTGCTAAATACATCTCTCGAAATAAAACTCTCGATATATGAGTTAATTAGTTAATTAGAGGAACAAATTTTTCGGACAAAAGAATTTTTACATAATAAAAATTAAAGTAAAATAAGTAAATGTTTGTCTGCATATAACTTCGTACGTTGAATGAAAAATTAGAAAATGAACAATATTATTCAATTTTCTCTCTTTTTAACAAAATAAAAATATTTCATATTTTTTTCAATCGTAAGTACTGGTTGTAAACAGGTTTTATTCTAATATATTACATATTTTTAAATAAACAGAATCTCACAGAAAAATGTCAAATTCTGGAGAGATGAAAATAATTGATAAATAGTTGAAAATAATTTGAAAAAAATATGAATTGTTGTCTTTAATTTTCGAATTTTTGCTACGAATTTTTGTGCCAACCCAATACATATACGTACTGTTTACATAACAAGACATTCTAATGACGAGCGTTTTGATGAAAAAAGTTCCGGTATATGTAAACAATTTAAATTAAATTTAACTACTTATTAAAATAAAAAGTTTATAAAAATTATGTCATTTTGAATTAAAATGTATTCAAGTTTTTTTTACTACGATATTACCATATCTAAAAATATTCTTTCTTTTTTGCAATTTATGTTTATAAACGAATTTAATTATTCATGCGTGATAAGTGATAAAACAAAAAAAAAACAACTCGCCAGACATCGTACGAATATTAAGTGATAAGATATAAAATAACATACATTATTATATAATAATATACATTAAAAGAAATGAAAGGAAGAGAGAAAGAAAGGAGGCTTTGTAAGAATGATGATGATTCTTTATTACAATAATTTTTTTACGATATATAAAGATATTATAAAGTTTTATAAGTTCTATGTCCACAACCGAATGGCAAATGCAATTCATCGTAGCTATTTTATTCCGGCTATCGAACGGTATTGTACAATTTCAAATTCAAACACGCGGTTTTTTCATTGCCGATTTTACACAGAATCATACAGACGGGGACAACATGAGGCAAAGCATATGAAAAAACATATTTTTTTTATCTTCACCTTTTTTTCTCCAACAGGAGTATATCGAAAATATGTATACGTTTCTCGAGATACACGTCGATTTGCTCGGCAACGCAATCATTGATACACATAGAATATATTACAGGAGAGAAATCAATAACGTAACCATTAATAACGATTAACGCAATGTACATGACACGCATTATTATCCTTAAGGGTAAAAGCATGCATTTCGCGTGCAACGAGATTTGAAATTCGTACGATTGTAAGATTTGCTAAAAGCATATTATATTAAATGATTTTCATTTCTGTAACTTGATCCCGTTTTATCACAAAGGCTCGAGCATCGTTGAAAATTTGATTTTTAATCCATCATCACGAATAGAAATGATCGTGAAGCTCGTGTACACACTCACGCACGCTTTTCCTGGCTAATCAAATGCAATACCACGAATGATTTTCCGATTCACATTTTTTTTTTTTTTTTTTAAATTTCAACTTAACACGAACACGTGTCACGAATTCCCCGATAACGAAACGCGTTCGTCATTTTTTTTATTTTTATTTTTTCTCTCTCGCCCGTTTCCTGTACACAACATGGCACGTCCTAATCCTATTGATTACGCGGCACAGCGCAATTATACATCCTGTATAATTCGCATACCGGCGCTGCGCTTTTCATTATTTCGTTTTACACGTCCGTTTCTTTTTTCGTCCGCTTGATTACTCGAAAAGAAAAACAGATACAGATTACTTATTTTACTCAAGTACTTTCCGTTTTCTACGCGTGTACGTAGAATATCTTACGCGCTAACCACTAATCTATGTACACAGACGCATTCCTACATTAAAAAGAGAAAGAAATCGAGATAGATTCCGTGTGCTGTGGCCGAGGCCAATTTCATTGGTCCCATGTACAAAAAGGCGATGGCATAAAAAAATATAGGGTGTCGTTAAACGTTTTTAAGTAGAGCCGCGGTGACGACAATCCTGGGAAACGACAGATATCTCGGACGTTTTTTCTTTTCGAAGAAAAGGCTTTTTCAAATCTGTTTCGCTCGATTTCGCTTCCCCAGATTGAAGGAATTAATTCCTGGATTTCGATCGATTTTCACGCCACGACTCGGAAACATCATTATCATTTAGGCAGTAAACTAGGACAATTCGTTGTACTGTCGTAGCTTGCTGTATAAAAAGAAGAGAAGCAAGAATAGATCTATAAATGATTCAGATGTTTCATTTAAGTGTCCTCGAGTAATAATAGTATTATTCTTTTATCACAGTCAAGGGGCGAATCACGCAGATGTTCTGCACCACGAAGCAGTTTAAATTTTTTCGTTGAATGTAGTCGGTAATTTCTGAATGGCCCCCCGTGTGCAATTTTTCACATCTTGTGATTCGTGCCCGATCACGTAAAACGGAGATCCTCGCGACCGCCAATCGAATTTACAGAGATAATTTTTAGAGATAAAAAAGTCCACGTTCGCATATATAAAAGTTTTATATAAAAGTTCTCCAACAGACGCGAATGTGTGAAACAAATCAACGAAATAAAAAAAAAAAAAACACGTTGAAGGTGGACCGTGAAGGATAGTATGTTTAAAAGTCGAAGACAGAGATAGGAAAGTAACGATTGTTCATGCCATTTACTTCACGTCGTTTCCCTACAACTTGTAATAGCCTTACAGAAATGGTAGACAGTACTTTTCTTTTTTTTTTTTTTTTTTTATTTACAAGCCACGGTAAATGGCACATTAAGATTATCTTTGCACTACTTGTTTATCGTACGCGCGTTTTACAGTTCATGACGCGTGAGACACATGAGTTTCTTCTTTTTTTATTCCTTGACGACAGTCAGCTTGCTGAGAACAGAAATTAGCACAGGTTTCACACGTTTTACGTCTAATCACAATAAAGCACGGCACTTTTCAGCGAAGTGTCCTTTCTAAGTACACTGTGAAGTTTCCTCGAGCAGCACGAGGAGCCGGACTTGTTTGCCTTCGAGATTGCATCTTCGATCGACGAACGACACCCGGCTTTCCGAATTCTAACTAGAACGGACCAGTCCGTATTACAACGTAGATTTTTTTTTTTTCAGGAATCGCGAAGTCAAACGGTCGTCTCGTTCTTCCTGAGGGGTTTCAGCGGCTGTAATTCTCGTTCTAGACGATCGAAGTCGTTGTAGTACTCGTGATCAGATTCTTCTTCCGAGCTTCTTTGTCTCACTTGAGAGCCGAACGTTCCGTTCGTTAGAACCTTTTCTAGGTCAGGCGTTGGGATACCTAAAGTTTGCGGCGTTAATGGTCCTTCGTCCTGCGACATTATGTACTCGGGATTATCCAACGACGTCTTCCCTTGGATAGTTAGGAATTCGGGATACTTTCGATAACCGTTGTTCACTCGCTTTGGTTCCATTTCTAAAAAAAAATAAATAAACTAATTGTAATTGCACGGCGAGCGTTAAGTATTTTGTATTCGAGTGACTTAGAAAATGTATCGGTCTTACCCGTCGGTTTCGAGTCCCCTATGAGATCCATGTATTGCGTGGTGTTTGTTGGCAATTGTGGCGATGGCATCAAATAATCATCTTCGTCTAATGGCAAGTCGAGCTTCAGATTACCTACTTGGGCTTGCTGGTGCGCAGAATTTATTTCGCCGTCGAAACAATCGTCTGTCACGTCGCAGTCTAAGCGAACAGAAAAATGAAATTAATGTTCGACATATTTCTGGAAATTTACGTTTGTACAATAGGATTAATAAATTATCTTACTATCTAATATCGTTTGTTTACAAAATAAATTCACATATTTAGTAGTAGAATAAGCGAAGAAGAAGAACGTTAATTAAAATTTCGTTTCAATTTCACACAAATAGATTTTGAGAATAATTTAAGACTTTTAATCGATATGATTGAAAATTTTACTTGTGTGTGTAATTAAAAAAATATGCATTTTTATATTAACGTTTAATTATATTTATATGTACTAATGTTTTTACACTATGATTAGAGAAAGAGATTAAAGGAAGTTTCTTGAATTAAAGAATTTTAGAGTAATAATAATCAACTCACCTCTAACAACGATCATTTTCAACGGGTCCGAACAATATCTCGAACTAGTAGTGTCCGAGCCACTGATATGCCCGCAATGACCATTTGGAGGCGCGTAATGCCCGTGTTGACCGGAATTTCCTGGTTCGTGCGATATGTTCCCATTTCTATGATTCGCGCCGTACCTCAACAACTCTCGGTCTAGATTTTGTTGGTTCTGAGGTGTGGGTGAATCAGTGGCCAATGGTTTTCCATTTGGCCAGCAAGCTTTCACGGGTGTGTTTGGCGGAGAGCCGGAAGTGCTGGATGCTGAAAGTCCTGGCGGAATAGGAGCCCTAGATTTCGGTTGTAGATACTCGTCAGCGTCTACCAAAGCCTCGGGTCCGTCCATGGCTGACGCGAGATTTCGTATCATCTCTTTTTCGTCCTAAATACAAAATCGTAATTACTTGATTATTTACTTAAGTATATACTTAATTGTCCTTGTCAAATTATGTCATTACTTGATATCTCAATTTTATTTTCACTTTGACGAACGAATTTCAACAAAATTTTAGTGTATGATATTTTTATGTACACGCACACACATACACACATATTTTTATTTCTTACATTTAAATGTTTTTGTCTTGAACTTAAAAAATGTTTTAATGATGAGAAACCACGTGAAGTGCGGTTCACTAACCTGTAGTGTATACGAAGGTAGCCTCATGTATTTATCGCCCTTGATAGCAAGATATCGACCAGGATCTCTCGACATTTTAGCAAAGTCTTCGGCCAGCTCTTTGAAGCTGGGCCTCGACTCAGCGTCCAACATCCAACATTTAATCATGATCATATAAACGTCGATTGTACAAATTGCTGGTTGGGGTAATCTTTCACCTTTCTCCAATAATTCCGGTACGTTTCGAGCGGGCACATTCTCGTACGGTCTACCGCCGTAAGTAAGAACCTCCCAGATCGTCACACCGAAGGCCCAAACGTCCGACTTGTGGGTGAACACTCGATGTTGAATACATTCCAAGGCCAGCCACTTGATCGGCATCTTTCCACCGGCGGCCTTGTATTGTTCCTCGTTGATGTCCAGAAGCTTAGCCAATCCGAAATCAGTAATCTTCACGCAATTAGGCGTTTGCACTAGAACGTTCCGAGCGGCGAGGTCTCGATGGACCAATCTTCTTTCTTCCAGATAGGCCATCCCTCTAGCGATCTGTGTGCACCAATTTAGCAACGCCTTCGAGCCGATTTTATCTTTAAATCTACGCACGAAATCGAGCAAACAGCCGAGAGGCATCAACTGGGTCACCAACATCATCTGCGACGTCATGCAAACGGCCAACAATTGAAGTAGATTCGGATGTTCCACGCTAGCCATGATATAAGCCTCGTCGAGAAATTCCTTTGACGTGTTTGCTCCTGTGCCATTGCCTTGTAAAACCTTTATAGCCACCGGAATCTTCACGTTCTCTCCTTCTGGCACCCAAACACCTTTGTAAACGTTCCCGAAAGCACCGTAACCTAGAATTCCGCCTTTCCTCATTTCTTCTTCCTTAATGATACGTAATTTCGCTAGATTTGGTTTCACGCCGGTCGGACGGAGTGGTTCATTGTCGTCCAAGCCAGTCAGGGCCATCGTCATTTTCACGGTGTTCTCCTTGGCTTTCGCTCGTACACGCCAGAAGTACATGATTATAGCTGCTACTACGAGGAATGCTAAAGCAAATACCACAACGCTTGCTAAGATGGCTGGTTGAAGTTCGTTTTCCACTAGAGAGCCGACGGTTTCTAGCGAACAATATGGCTCGCTGTCTGGATTGAAGATCTTGTGCGGATACTCAGGGGTACATGTCTCCGTGCAGTTGAAAGACGTGGTGTTCCCATCTACATCTCCGTCCTGGAATTAAAAAGTAGAATTTAAACACGGAAATTAGTTAAAATTATTTCAACTTGAGCGTAAAATTGTGTGAACTTGATCGTGAGTATGTTAAGATATTTATTGAAAATGAGCTTAAAACTTTAGGAATTATAATAATATGCAATTATATTTAGCAAAATTTCTTTTTACTACTAGATCACTGCATGATAAATTTTGGTCATTCATATTATTATTTGCAATAATTTATTATTTCTAATTCATCGTACAGTTTATGAGGATCAAAATATGATTGTCAAATTACTCTTTATTTGTAACTTCTACAACTTTCTTTTCTCAATAATTTGGCTTACTCATTCGATCCAGTCGTGGCTCCTCGAGATTTTTAAACGGGACTTACCATAACTATGATATTTGAATTACGTGATATATTAGAAAATCAATTTCAATTTAATAGAATTTTCATAAATAAAAGATATTTCTCTTCGCTGGATTAGGTACAAATACCGTGTGCTCGAGAGGAAAAACTTGTACTTACAATATAGATCTTGTAGTTCCGACATTTGTAACATTGATTCGGGCCGGGTCCAAAGCATCCTCGACACTCGCTGTTGCACGGTATACAGAGCTGAGTATCAGCATCCGTGAAGTGATCCGCGGGGCATTCGTCTTCGCACTGTTCACCTCTCTTGTATTTTGTACATTCTTGGCATACGAGCTCGTGAAAACCGTATCCCGTGCACTTCTTGCACCGTGAGTGACATTTGCGGCACACGGCCTTGCCTGCCAGAAGTTTCAGTGCTCCTTGCTCTTGAGGACTCACCCATTCATAGTAGTATCCTTTAACAGAAATTGTTTCTTTTATTATATTAAATTTCCAGCGTGACAAGGTAAGTGTATGCAGAATAATAAAATAATAGGTAACTACCTATTTATCTAACAAAAACATATTTTTTCAGATTTAAGTTACTACAGACATAACACGGAACTCTATTTACTTAAACGTGTTTGAACTTTCGAAATTTTAATTAGTCAGTAACGAAGTAATTATTATACACAGAGAGGTAATTAACTCGCATTTCTTTTTTACTGTCCCAGAATCGAGAAGTCTAAAATATTGGCTGAACGAACATTCGAATTCCGTTTTAAAACGGAATAAATGGTGGAGATTACTTACCGTCAGGACAGGGTTCCTTTTTCTGCAGACATCCTTTAGGTACATGACCGTTCATGATCGCTTTATCGCAGCTGTGACATCCGTTAGGGCCTATGTTGTTTTCAGGGCCGTCGCATCCACCCACGCAATTCTCGTGACAACTTTTGCACAGACCGTTGTCATAATACTTGGAGGATGGACACTCTGGTACGCAGTATGGGCCATCGCGCGCGTGTTTGCATTTCTTGCAATGCTCGGCGTTCGGGCCCGTACAAGAGCCAGCGCACTCCTCGTGACACACCTTGCAGGTCTTTTCATCCGCTCGATAGATTCTAAAAAAAAAAATATCGTATGAAAATAATAATTTCTCTTCTGGCGTGCAAGCAAACGTTGGGAAACAGAGCGAAAACGTGCGCACGCGAAGCAGAAAATTAAGAAAGTCTTCTCAGGTGTTTGCAGTTTACCTTCGATCCACAATCTGAGGCAGGCAAATTTAACATACAGAAGTAACGTGTGTTATTTACGTTACGATGTAATCGATATATACGAGTTTATGAAGAGATGTTCGAGTGAATTCAGGAATCTTACCCTGGCGCGGTGCAGTCTTGGACGCAATCGTTCCCTAGGATGAAGTTCTTGCAGGATAAACATTGTGCCGGACCGGGCCCCCAACAACCTTCGTCGGAACATTGCTCGTCGCATATTAAGCCATCTTTTACTGTAATTGCACAAGGTATTTATATTTATTTATTATTGCATAATTTTTATACTATGTCCGATTTGAAATTCAAATTGCATTTAAAATAATTATTTGTGTAAGTTAATATCATTGGAATGATAAGTGCGTGACTTTTAAAAAATTACAGAAGATGGACAATGACTGTGAATGATTTGTATGAGAAAAAACAAAAAAAAAAAAAAATGGAACAAGGATCTTTGATTTTAATGTTAACTAGATTTTAACTACACTAGAATAAATGGATTGAAATAACACAATATTACACAAAAATTTATTCGATATCAATATCTCGACAATATTCTATTCTAATAATGTTCTATATTCCCTTCAGTGAATTATAATAGTGAACACCACTTACTGCACTCGCTTTCGTTCCGATTATTCGACAACAAGCTCCCGTGCTCCGACGATTTCTTGATGTTGGTCCAATTAATACTCTGCGCGTAGCACAGGTTCTTGTTCTCCAATATAGCTATCGTTCCAGAGTAGATCTTCTTGAGCGATCTGAGCCCAAACGAGACCAACGACGTCTTCACCACGTACAACGACGCGAAGTAATCGGTCAGACTTCTTCCCCCTATCACCTCCAGATTGCGGAAGTACGACAGATTCTTGAAATCCTTGTGATCTCCTTGAATATTTAAATACCCGGTGATCTCCTTCAACGTGCTGAACACCTCCAGCTTGTCCGGATGCATCTTCTCGTAACGTTTGCCGAAACTGAAGTTCGGGTACACGTGTTGGAATCCCTGGAAGCTCTGGTCGAGGATCGTGATCGATCCTTCGATGATGGTGCAGTCCTTGAAACTGTCGATGTTCCCGGAATGCACTTTCTCCACGCCCTCGCAGGTTTTCGGGCAAGGTCCGTCGCAGGGCACGCATTCTCCGTTCAGCGCCTTCTTCTTCGGTGGACACGATCTCACGCAAGCCCCGTTGTCTTTCAGAAGATGTTCCGGACATCTTCTCACGCAGGTTGCACCGTATGCATACTTCCCGTCGGGATTAGGCTCCCACGAATACGTCGTAGGATTGTACCTGAAACGATCGTCGTAAAATTCTTATTACTCGGTGTCTCGAAAATCGTTTCCGACGATTTTTAGCGAGCGAGTAAGACCTGACGTACGATAGCCGTGGCAGGAAAATCAATATTAGTAGACAGGGAAGATTTATAGGTGATAAAGACGCCGTTGTAAAACGCGTTACTGGGTTCGGACAGGCCGTGGTACAATCCGAGTGAACGCGCGAACATCAACGCGACTTGATAGACCGTTCTTGCGTTTCCAGTTATAGAGAGTATAAGATCCGTGAGATTATGAGGATATTATGGAGGGATAAATTGAAAAGATTTTCTATGCGAGGATATCGATTTCTGCGGTGCGCAGTGGATTTGAGCGTGTTTTATATATATCGTAGTAGGTTTATCCACTGTTTAAATTTCTATAATTTATCACATTGCGTGCTATTATTTATTGCCATAATTTATTGCTACGATCTTTCTAAT